TTGCTGCTGTATCTAAAAATAAATCCGATTTTAATGCATATGATCTTGTCAAAAAGAGTATTCCAGTATGTTTTTTTTTACGAGTAAGTAGATAAGATGAAAGTTAGATAAATAGTTCAATTTTTAATGACACATGTGTCCAATCTAGGAATCTGTACAACGCGGAAAGAGCTGAAACCAATGGTTTTTTTTAGTTTTATTTTTTATTTTTATTTCTGATTTAAAGCTGATAAAAAAATCAAAAATAATCAGCCCTTTTCCCTTTACTTTTCACCGTATTTCGACTCCACTATCCATTTTCAAATAGAAGGCGAGTGATTGCGAGTCGAATAACTTTGGAACGGAAGCAGCTATGGACCTGTGGTTTTCACCATTGAATAGTGGACACGAAGGCACGTAAATCTATGAAAAAATTTCATTGGTCAACAATTGACCAATAGGATGAATGCTCGCTGGACATTTTGAACATAGCTTTTGAAACGCTTTTTTTGTTGGATTTTGAAGTCCAATTAAATTATTCGATAGAAAAAATTGTCCTCTTTCGATCTACGCAAAGCCTAGCTCGATAGCTTGCTCCCTTCAGTAGCTATAGGCATTTTCCTAAGATCCCTGAAATCAATCAGGTTATCCTGAATCAACCCTAAATGCGTCACACTATAGGTAATCGATCATGCTGAGTTCAGTGATGATGTTCGTTTTTTATTTCAAAGTAATATGATATCACTGTATCGAGATTTTCGAAAATTTTCCTAAAATGATATCAGATTACTTTGAAATAAAAAACAAACATCATCACTGAGTTGAGCTGGTTGATTATCTATAATGTAATGCTTTTAAGGGTGATTTCACGTCACCTGACCGATTTCGGAAGTCTCAGGAAAATGCTTATAGCTAAGGAATCGAGCAAGCTGTCGAGTTCGGTCTTGTGTAGATCGAAAGAAAACAGTTCTTTCTATCGAATGATTTAATTGAAATTCAAAATCCAACGAAAAAAACATTCCAAATGCTATTTTCAAAATGTCCAGCGAGTTTTCATCCTACTGGTCTATTACTGACCAATGAAATTTTTCCATAGATTTACGTGCCCCAGTGTCCACTTTTTAATGATGAAAACCGCAGCTCCATAGGTATTTCCGTTCCTGGATTATTCGACTAGCAATCACTGGTCTTCTATTTTGAAATGGATAGTAGTTTATATTTAACAAATAGAATTTCTGTTAGATTATTTCGATCAATGAAAAACATTAGCTAAATCCAACCACATCAATCCCTACCGTAGATTTTCTTTACTGTATCACACTATTCAAAATATCGAAAAATAGATTTAATTGATGTTCGGTCATTATCTACCTGGCAGCGATGGAGAAACAATCGATACCGCCTGACATAATGGATACCGCTAACACTGCGCATATCACTTGTAAATCTTAATAAATTTTATTGTTCTAATCGATTGTCATCAGTCTCATATCGAAAATCCATTTAAATTAAATTCCATCTTGAGAATAATATTGAAAACAATTTTGTATGCCAATTTCAGTAAATCTATCAAAAGTAAGATAAATATATTTTTATATGTGTGATTTAAAATTAAAAACCTTATTAAAATATCTTGAATATATTTTATTCTAACTCATTTGAGTATTATGTAATATATTTTATTAAAATAAATTTTTTGCGAAAAGAAAAATAAATCAAAATGGCATTATATTAAAATTAAACTACAAAAACTTTCATATATTTTAGTAGATATTTGATTGAAATATTTTGTTCCATTTTATGACGTTTAAAATAATCTCTACGATATATATACAAGAGGTGATGCAAAAAATCTTGCATAAGTATTATTCGTTTTTCTGTTGATAAAAACATGTACCGGAATATCTATTAGAAATCTACATTGAAGGCGCTTTCTAATTGTATGATCAAAAAAGGTTCTACCATGTACTAGCTTATAGCTACGGACACATCTTTGAACACTACTAAAATGTATGCTCTAGAAAAATAGCTCACTGTACTTGTGACAGAAAGAAACTAATCTTTCAGTATTTTTTGATTTTCTTCCATATGTACCGTTGTATTGTTCTGCTCTTTTTTTCATTAGATACACCATTTAATTTTCTACAAACTTGTTAGAAAACTGTACGGCATCATTTTAGATAACTTGACAAAAAGAACTGACAAACAATGCTCTACAAAATAATGAGAAAACGGTGACAATCACACAAGATTTTTTTTTGAGATTGAAATGGTATCATTTCAATTCAAAACAAATAAAATGTTAACTCAAGATACGTGAGGTAGAAATGTGCCAGAGTTCTTATGTCATCAACTCATATAAATCACAAATGCTCGGACTGACCAATATACAAAGTAAATATCAACTCGAAAATGGTAAGAACACTGAAGTTGATTTTTTTTGCAATGTTATCTTAAACAATTCTATAATATTTATCACAGTGATTCTTACAAAATAGAATATATAATATAATAGATAGAAAATAAAAACATTTCGATAAAATGAGCCGAAAGATATTACAAAATACTGAGAAATCAATCATTTAATGATAGTCGTTCTGAGTTGCTTTTCTTTTTTCAGTGTACATTTAAATAGTGTTCGAAGATATATCTCTGTTATTCTAATCCAATCCATGGTGAAATCTTTTTTGATTATACAGTTAGAAAGTGCTTTCGATGTAGATTCCTAATAAATATTTCGGATTTTTTCGAAAACATATTTTAGTCGATGAAAAATTAAGTTACATTTATGCAAGAATTTTTATATCACCCGTTAATTAAGATGAATATTTTTCTTGATTGTCACATTGAAAAAAAATCGATTAGATTACTATTGAATAATAATCTGATTCCAATAAAATAATTATTAGATACTTTTTTTTTAAATAAACCAATGAAATAAATGTTCACCATAATAAATAAAGAATATTAATTTAAAGTGGACTGCAAAAGTTTAAGACACTTTTATTTTTGAAGTTTTTCATCGAAGATGAGTAGCTAGGTGGAATCGAAATAGTGATTTGGATAGCTCTTAGAATTCTCTATCAAATACAATATGTGTCAAATTTTTAAAAGAAACTTGGTGAAGAGAGTTTTCCAGAAAATCGTGCCAGGACGATTTCAAGTCCTAGAGAATTTTGACAGAAAAATTTTTCAATATAAGCTTCTGAAAAAGTGTAAAATTCTGAATAAAATCAAGACTTGTCTAGCTCTCTACGATATTTCATCCCAAAGTTATAAGCATTAGAAAAAACGAAAAAAAAACGCGTTTGTCGTCGATTTTTATTAAAAACGTCCCTAAAATTCGATTAAAACCGTATTTGTTTTCGTTTTTTCTAATGCTTATAACTTTGTGGCGGAATATCGTAGAGAGCTAGACGGTTCTTGATTTCCTCTGGCACGGTTTTCTGGAAAACTCTCTTCACAAAGTTTCTTTTCAAAATTTGACACATATTGTATTCGATAGAGAATTTTAAGAGCTATTCAAATCACTACTTGAATTTCAGCTAGCTACTCATCGATGAAAAATTTCAAAAAGAAAGATGTCTTAAACTTTTGCGGCCCACTTTATATGCGAAAAATATACACTCTAAAATCTTGACGTCATTGTTATTTTTGAAGGACGACTCTTCTTAATGATATTTTAGTTATGAAAAACAAAAAAATAAAAGTAATGATAATCTACATTTGTTATGATGTAAATTTAATAGGTGTTACTAACTTTCATAATCGTCACGTATTAGACCATATTTTACACTCAGTTATTATGAGAAAAAAAGTATTTTCGTATAATACTACACGATTTTATATATTGAACTTAAACAGGTCTAGATAGACTCATCGCTTCGCACAATTTGAAAATATCTATTTGGATTTTTCTTCTGACTGCCACTTAATTCTTAGTTAAAAATAATAATGAAATGGTTGTTATTTTACTATATGGTCCATGATGCAGACAGGTGTCGTGACAATGTCTTTTATGAAGCGAAATAGTGAATGTTCTAATAAGAGAAAAATCAAATTTAGAAATGATTGATTATAATTATGAGAAAACAAAGTCATTTTTCTAAAACAGTAAACATTATTTTTGAACTTCAAAATCAGATTTTCATCAAATGAAAAATGGTAATTTTTCAAATGATTATTCATTATCAAGAAAATGAATAATTTACTCTAGTAGTAAATATGATTCAAAACAAATGAAAGATTTATTCCAGTAAAATCGATATTTATTTCTACTTCGCACTTTTCTTTCATTTCAGCACGACCACTACGATCGTCTGCTATTGATATTCATCCGAATGCAAAATGGATACAAAATGGTCACACTGTAGCTGGAGGAAATAGATTTGGCAATAGAACCAATCAACTCTATAACCCATGTGGTTTGTATGTTGATGATGATCAAACTATCTATGTCGCTGATCAATTGAATCACCGTATTGTGGAATGGAAACAGGGTGCAACGAGTGGTCAAGTGATTGCCGGAGGAAATAGACAAGGAAATGGGGATCATCAATTATCTATTCTCTCGGATGTGATTGTCGATAAAGAGAAAGATAGTCTCATCATCTGCGATAATTCGAATAGAAGAGTGGTTCGATGGCCTCGTCGAAATGGAACAACTGGAGAAACGATCATCTCGAACATCATGTGTGTGGGTTTGACTATGGACGAGAATGGATCTCTCTATGTCATTGACTTTGAAAAAGATGAAGTGAGACAATATCGAAGAGAAGAATCTCAAGGAACATTGATTGCAGGTGGCAATGGAAATGGAAATCGTCTCAATCAACTCTCTTACCCACAGTACATATTCATTGATCGAGATCATTCAGTATATGTATCTGAATATGGAAATCATCGTGTGATGAAATGGTTAGAAGGTGCAAAACAAGGTATTGTCGTGGCTGGTGGTCAAGGAAAAGGAAATGGTCTTACACAATTGTCATATCCTCAAGGAGTTATTGTCGATCAGTTTGGCACTGTTTATGTGGCGGACGACGGGAATGATCGAATTATGCGTTGGATCAAGGGAGCCACACAGGGAGATGTCATTATTGGTGGAAAAGGTGAAGGAGAAGAATCAAACCAACTTAATGGACCCGTTGGTTTATCATTCGATCGATATGGCAATCTTTATGTTGTTGATAACGAAAATCATCGAGTACAAAAATTCAATATCGATTCAAATGCATGAGTCTGTACTTTTTTTATCAAAAAATTAATTAACCTCAATAATTAATTATCTATTGTGTGTACTACCTTAGAATGCATAAAAAAATCATAATAATAAAAGCTAACTTGTATAAAGAAATCACACTACAGCAAGTATGGGAAGGCTTGAAAATCATGAAAACAAAAATACAAAAAGGGGGACGAAGATGCCTTGAAAAGCTCGGAATTCTTGAATTTATTTGGATTTCCAAGGATCCTCAAGGGTTCCCTAGGATTCCATTGGATTTCGGCGACTTCCATTGAATTTTACAGAATTCCAGGATTCTGCTCTTTCTTCCTTGCTTCAAATTCTTCAAATTTTTAGCCTTCCCAACAGCGTAGACTAGTCCTAATACCTTGGAAAGCTTGAGATTCTTGGATTAAATAACTTTCCAATGTCATCGACAGTTTCTAATGCTTGGAAAGACCTACAGTCCTTCGGTTTTCAAGTTTTCCGAGATTCTTCGCAAGCTCTAATGAGCCGAAACGCTTGGAATTCCTCGATTTCTTAGCTTCTTGTCATCAATACGTTTGCAGGCTTGAAATTCTTGGATTTCATAGCTTTCCAATATCCTCAGCAGCTTCTAATGCCAAGAAAGGCTTGAAATTGTCGTATTTCTAAGTTTTTCGAACTCCTGAACGCTTGGAGTGCTTCGATTTCCTAGAGTTGCCGACATTGTTGACTAGCCCTAACACCTTCAAAGGCTCAAAATTCCTGAATGTCTTAGCTTTCCAAGATTCTTGATAGTTCCCGATGTCTTGGAAGACTTAGAGTACTCGGATGTCTTAAGGATTTCAATATTCTTGATAATAGCTGATGCTTTCAAGCCTTCGAATTTAGGGAATCCTAAGGCTTTCCAATATCCTTCACTGATCTTAATATGTGGAAGGCTTGGAATTCTAGAATTTCGCAACATTGCCAACATGCTTGACAGTTCTGAAGACATGGAATCTCTTTGAGTGCTCAAAATTCCGTTATTTTTTTTAACTTTCTTCATGTTCATGAGCGGCGTACATTTCTTGGAAGTGTTGGGATGCTTGGATTTTAATTGTCTCAAGTTGCTTGACCGTTGTTTGTTCCTTTGAAGGTTGGTATAGGTTAGAATGTTTAGAATTGATCGTGGAGTTGCTTTTGTTAGCTTCATGAAACCTTTGGAAGGATGATATTATCTTTGAAGACTAGAAATTGTTGGATTGCAGGCCCAGAAAAAGCCTTGAGAACCTTGAGGGTGCGGGTGTGCGTATGGTTGAAGACATAACTCATACATCCAGCCTTACATCCTCAGTTAATCTGATTCTGGAATAAAATTTTTCTGAAAACAGGTGAAAATAAGCTGATGTAATTCAAAGTTATGATCCGAAGAGGATGATTCTTCATTTCGGAGTATGACATTTCATCCCGTACCGTTACTAGATATACTTCCAAAAAAGTAAGACACACGATTCACGTCAACTCATGCATTTTATAGTGAATCAATTACGGATGTATCCAGATACTGTGATAATAGAATTAAAAAGGCACTGTTGTATATCTACTCGAGAATTTTCTGTGTAATCTAGCAAAGTTATGAATTGATTTCGATGCATTCGCAGTTAATAATCGATTAACGGTATAATAATATGTGAACTCCTTATATTTTTGTTGTGTTTTTTATTCATCTACAATGAAACATATGCGTCATTTCTCTAAGCGACTAAAGTGTAATCTAATAAGAACAATAGAAACCAAATATAATGTTCAACATAATCAAATACATGTGTGATCAAAGCTGATCCGCATCGTCACCTCCAAAGTATATGTGCATATCGTCGTGGCAATGATGCTGTCCTACATAGTACCATCCTGAATAGAAGTGGCGTCCGCGATTCTCGTTCTAACTTGTATAATGATTCACAAACGTCGTTGTATCATCGCAAGAAGCATTGATTTTCTCATAGAAGATTTGATAACTTCCGTTAAAAATAGGATCAATTTCTTAGGTAAACCCTACTTTAGCCGAAAAGTAAAAATGTCGAAAATTAAATACCGAAAACAAAAAATGAGGGTGTAGTCAATGATGTTCGAGTGGGAGAGGTTTCTCCTTCCATATACTTTCATTTTCAACACTTCCACCTTTTGGCATAAATGCTGTATTTGTTTTCGATATTTATATTATCGACATTTTTACTTTCAGCATTGGTAGGGTAAAGCAGCCGGTGTTGGTAAATGACCCGAATATAAGTAAATTCTAGAACGTGCTGTTGATGGTTTCTTAAAATTTCAATATTTCATCTGAATCATAAAAGAAAGATTGTATGTAGACAAATTATCTTTTAGTTACTGTGCTTGAATTTTTGATAATTATTTAGTACTTTCTTTTGATTTCGAAGAGAATGAAAATATTATCCTAAGAATCGTTTTTCCTATGCGATTCCATAATAAGATTTTTCAAGATGGAAAACTGATTATTTTCACTAGCTAGATTTTCTAGAAATGGCAACTGTCTATTTTTTGTATACCTTTGCACAATGAGAACCTATTAGAAAAGTCTAGTAAACTTTTATTATGTCTTATTCAAGCAAGCAAAACGGAAAACATGACAGTTTGAAACCTCTAATAGCAAAAAACTATCTTGCTGACCATTTTTTCCAGGAAATTCACTTGAACCACGCTTGCCCTTGACTCATGGAAACTCTGATAATCCATTTAAACCATGTTCGTTTGTATGAGGATCTTCTGCTATTCATTATCCTACACCTCTGCCCACGCTGATCACGTAGATCGAAAGATAGTAAATTGGGACCTCTAGTTTGTATAGGGCTGAACATTTCTCAAGTAAAGGATATCATCTACCTCGGTGATATAACTTGTGATTCGAGGATGCTGATAGAGATACAAGGAGTTCAATGTTTATTGTTGTTAATAATAACAGTAATAATCGAGTCAAGAACAAGTTGAAAAGAGAGCAAGTTCACAAGGAAAATAATAATAGTTATTATTACTAAAAGCAAGAAAAGTTATAGATTCTAGTAACAGAGAGAGGGATGTTCTGCTACTCGACCAAAGATAACAAACTGAACGATAATATATGCAAGTGAAAAAGTATAAAAGAGAAAACAATAGAGAGAGAGCGAGAAGCAAAAAGAAATGACATATGATGACGAACCATATGTGGTAAGATTAAAAAACAAAGAAATGATCAAAGGACAATGATTGAACTCGTTAACGGCAACATAGTATCATCTGTTGACGCTAATAGCCCGAAGATCCTGGTCAGAGGTCCGCGAGAAATAAAATTTATTCCGTTTTACTTTTCTATGCTTACATATCATCTGAAAAAGGAGTAAAGGGAGTAGAGGAAGTAAATATTGTAGTAGCTTAAATAGCAGCAAAGTAAAAAGGTATAAATTTAATTTTTCATAGACTTCTCATCCTGATGTTGCAGGGAGTCCTGGTAATCCAGGAGAACCAGGGTCATCTTTTGCTCCTGCTTATCCAGATGATCCCAGAGATCCAGGTAAGCCACGTTCGCCCTTGTCTCCTGGAACTCCAGGTAAACCACGCTCGCCCTTGGCTCCTGGAGCTCCAGGTAATCCACGAGGACCAGAGTAACGGTCCCAATTTGCTACTGCTGCTTGCGCCATAACTCCATGCTCACCCTTGATTCCTGAAAGTCCAGGCAATCCAGGAGAACCATCTTTGCCCGCAGATCCTGGTGCTCCCGGTAGTCCAGGTAAACCAGGCTCACCCTTGGCTCCTGGCAATCCTGGACATCCATTTAAATCACATTCACATTTTGCTCCAGGAAATTCAGATAAACCAGCTCTACTCGTAGGTCCTGTAATTCCTTGATGACCACTCCCATTAACCAAACCTAATAAGTAAATCAAATAGACAGCGTATAAATTTGTTTTTAAGCTCGTTTTTATTTACTCGATGATACAGAAACTTACTTGTAATTATAAGTACAAATGCTTGAACATGAAAAACTATCTAAGCAGTATAGATTTCTCAAAATTATTTCTGGTAATTTTCATTCAAAAATTAGAAGAAGAGAATTCAATCAGAACTATGAACCAAAATAGAAAATTAGCTGAAAACATAGATTATGAAATTTCATATAATTATCACTGTGATGTCGATGAAATCTAAGACATACATAGCAATTTTTTGACCTTTGTGCTAACCAATATAGATTCCCCTCATCATCTCTTGACACTCATTTTAATGTCAGATTATAAATGTGTTTATATATCGTAGATTCGCAGAATTATGGTTTTCTCAGAGTTTTATGTATATGTTTGAAAAGTGGAATCTAAACATCACCGAAAAGTGATAGTGTAAATGAATAATGATGAGGCGTCATTTTCGTGTACTAAACAATCACGAAATGCAACTCACCAACACATAATTAAACCGTTTATTGAAAATAGAAAACTAACAGGTGGCTCAATTACTGTCAATATCTTTGATCACTATTTCAATCTCTGAAGATGTCGAGATATGTTTTCATAAATGTAGAATATAAAATTCTATAAAACTGATTAGGTCCAATGAGAATGATGATCCTTTTCTTATGGTGTTGAATAATATAAACAATTTACAAATATCTGAGAAATACCTATGTATTTTACATACATCTTAGTTAAACTAGAAAAATTTTCAAAAAAAAAAAAACAATAGTATTTTACCTTTCTTGATCATGTCGGTTAGATTTTTGTAGAGATTATTCATTTGTTCTTCTTTCTGAGTAGATGTTTGATTCAATACAGCATTGAATTTCGTAGTTAAGTTTGCGTACACTCGCTTAACCTCATTTTCAACAACAGAAATTCTATGTTGTATATTTCGAATCTCGCTACGTAATTTTATAGATTCCACCTAAAGTTGGTTCATCACATCATTAGACACACAATATAGTAAACTTTTAATTCGGTTTATACTCACCTGTTTTTTCAAATTCAATAGAAGACGTTCAATATGATCGATCCGATCCGTGAGCGATGAGTCCGTCTCGTCATGAAGCTCGTTCTGTGGACTGGATTGTGTTTGATAAACAACAGCCGCTAATGTTAGGATCAAAAACTTCCAAAAGACACGCATTCTAGAAAGAACTAATGAAAATATACTGTGTTTATCACAATAGACGATTTTATATAATCTTTTAGCTTCGTAAGTTATAAATATCCAAATACGACGATGACAGAAATCGTTGATACCATAGATCTGTCAACAGTTCATTGTATAGCAAAATGTCAGCTGTGACATGTTGTCTTTTGTTTTCTTATTAAGATATAGCTTTATTTAGCTAGTTAATTGCATCAGCATCATACAGAATAGGAAAAAGATCACAAGATTTACCAAAAGAAAGAAAAGAAAAAAACAGGGAGAGAGAAGAAAATACACTAGATAATGGTTTTTCCATCATAAGTAGGAATAAATTATTAAAGATATTTTACATACTTTTTCTCAACGTAGAAAGCTGAAATTTTTAACAAATATCTCCTGAAGTATAAATAGTTGCTATCGATATTTTGAGTATATCATCACTCTAGAAACATATTTTTAAAAGAATAATAACATATTCTGAAAGCGTTCAAAGTTTTCTATCACTCTGCATATTTATGTTTTAATTTTCACTTATGTACTAGAAAATAAATCAACTACAATGAAAACATCTCCTCATCATATTCTCATGTGCTAGATTTTGTCACTGTTATCACAACTAGTTTTTTAAATACTTCATTGCTATAGAAATCTCTTTTTAAAAACAAAGTAACTATATATATGCTGATAGCGCTTGAATATCTCTATCTTTCTATATATTTTGTCTACTGTCTTGCATTTATCCATTGCAAAAATTCGCTACTTTTGACGCTTTTTATTTTTGAATTATTATTACTATATAAATGTCCCAGGCAAAATTAAACTTAGGCAAAATTAATTTTAGTAGGCACGAAACAGAGAAATGTTTTTTATTGATTGTTAATCTACCTGTCAAAAGAAAAAAAACTATTCGTTTACATAAACTTTAAATAAAAAAGCAGAACATTCTTTTTCACGTATTTAATCGTATCATAAGTATAGTGAGGACTTCTCATTCAACATCAGAAGTTGAATCTCGAAAACAATTTTATGAACAAGCAAGTAAACATCTTAAATCTTTAAATAGCAGATTTCGAGAAAATATAGTAAGCACGCAACCATGAATGAAAGGATTATTCTTTATCGCCTTATGAATAAGTGTTCAACAGATTTCGATTCACGTTTTACATCTTGGCGTAGCATTTCTTTTGTCGTACAAAATACTGACTTGAAAATTTCACTATGTGATGCAAAAATTGATTAACTGGTATTAGTATATGATGCGATGAAAGATGTTTAGAAATGTACTTATGTTGAAACCGAAGCTTCTCGAAAGAGATACTTTTTCAAATAATATACAGCTACTAAATGATTTAAGTGTCTGATTATTTTGTAACAACTTTTCGCTTATAGCAGTACTTCATGTAACTAGCTATTGAAAATCTATCGCAATTTAAACGTTACTCTAGAGAAAGTACTGAGTTCAGGGTACCCATGTACTGAGAAAGCCTCAGCAGGGTACCCGATATGGGTACTTCGAAAATTTCCAGTAATTATACTGACGTAGGTGCTGCATTGGGTACCCATTGCAGTATGTTTACTGAACAAGTACTTGCATGAGTACCCGCACCTGTAATTTTACTAGGAAAAGCTCTACAGAGTACCCTAGATTTGTTGCGTTCTGTGTAGTAACTGTTCATTCACCGTTTTCTTTTGCATATACGGCTTCATATAAGCAACTCGAGGAAGCATAAGAAAAAAATATTTTTTCATACTAATTTTTTCTAGATTATTTTTCTTGACTATTTACTAGTCGAGGACATGCTGATCTCAATCGTAGATTGAGAGAGGACTACCTTGAAGTGGTCTGATGGAGATCCGACCAATTCGCGTCCGGTCAGATCTCGAAATTTGACCTGCTTGGCTTTTCAGAATTAGAAAAATAAAATAAAATAAAATCGAGAAAATATCATAAATTGCTTTGAGAGAAACAAAAATGAAAAAAAGCCAGAGGTTAGTTTCGATCATCAACATACTGCAAGTTTGGCAACAGGGTACCCAAAATTACTGAACAATAGTACCCAGTTGGGTACTTGATCAGTACCTTCAAGTACCCATTTACTGGATGCTTTCCAGCAGGGTACTTGGTCGAGTACCTTATAGGTACCTAAAAGTACTTTAAGGTACTTCAGTACCCGAAAGTTCCTGTGACATACTAGTAGCAGGGTACTTTTTCGGGTACCCTTAGCTCAGTACATTCACTAGGGTATCATAGCTGTCTAGAAAAGCTATTTGAAATAAAATGCATACAACTATTGTATGATTTTAATATCTAATTCACTTATAACGAAATTTCGTATTGGACTTCTTTTTGTAACTAGCAATTGAAAGTCTGCCGCTATATAAAAATCATCATACCTATTTGAACATTTTCATACATATCTTAATCGATTTGATAACTTATTATAAACAGGTAAAAGACGCATTCAATGCTTGAAATGATCCTTGCTCGAAATAAAATAATTCGAATGAATAAGTATCTGAGTATTTATTAAAAAAAACTACACATATTTCTTGAGTGTCCTTAGAAATTAAAAGGTTATTAGTTGACGAATTTTCTTTTTTTTTTTTGGGCCCTTGCTCGAAATAAATCAGTTACAATACATAGGTGGTTGAGCAATCATAGACCAGCTACGCTTATTTCTTCAATATCGTTAAGAGATCAAAAAAGTATTAGTTGACGAATTTTTGTTTTTTTAACTCTTGCTCAAAATATATCAGTTAGAATACAGGAGTAGTTGAATATTTTATTAAACAATTACACTTTTTTCTTCAGCATCATAAGAGATTAAAAAGTTATTTGTTGACAAATTATCTTTGTTTTTCCGTCAAATGACTGCTGCATGATGCAATAAAACCCCTAGACAGCTATCGATGAATTACAAGAAATATAGTTGACGTCTTTTAAAAGTCTTTATAATACTTTGTGTTTCATGTCGAAAAAGAAAATATTACAAAAACCAATATTATCAATGTTGCCAACAAGTTCGTTTTTGAACGTTCAAACATCTATCTTTTACACTAAAATTCTAAACATATAGAATAAACGTAAACTTACTCTTGAAGTATATGAACATAGATATGAAAAAGAATTGAAATAAACATAATCTTAATCCTCTTTTTTTTCTTTTTTTTGGTCGGGTGGGCGTTTTTTTTGCTTAGCTGTTTTTGATTGAACGATCAAAGTTTAGATGTAGATATTGTGCTATTTATGAACGAGAGAACTCTATCAATCCATAGCAGCGTGTTTCAGGCATACTGCTGATTGATTAGTGAATCATCTATGTGATTGATTATATGCTATTTGCTATTCTTACAGTGGTCACATACAAATGACTTTGCGAGAGATTAATGTTTATTGCAGTTTTTGTTGATAGCATTTTATATTGAATCGTAAAAAAGACTATATCCATATAAATCTATTTATCGAGCTTTCTGCGAATAAACAGATCTTGTTACTAAAGATCAGAATCAAAACAAATAGTTGATATAAGAAACTCTACGACAATAGATTATTAAAAGGGTAAAAAATATCAATAACTTCATTGCAAGACTAAAACTGACTTCTATTCAAACAAAATATGTTGTTTAATCTTTCGAATTTCTTGCCTTTCAAAACTCAACTAGATTTCAACAGACTATATTGACGAATTCTAAAAATTTCTAAAATCGATAAATTTTAATAGAATATATTGACGAACTCTACATCTTCCTAAATTTTAGTTAGATTTGCATTAGAAAAAGTGGCGAACTCTATATCTTATAAAATATTGTTTAGATTTGCATTAAAAAAAGTTGCGTACTCTATATCTTACAAAATATTATATAGATTTGCATTGAAAATAGTGGCGTACTCTATATCTTACAAAATATTCCCTCGACTGAAGAGAGGGTGATACGGAAAAAACATAAAAGCGTTTGTGGCGGGCGGAGTTTGTGCCAGGTCAAAGGAACACAAAGGTCAAAAAAACACAAGATCATGAAGTCATATGTTCGCTCCAACAAATCACCGAATCATAAGTTTTACACCACGGGCTATCGATCAATCATATTGAAATTCACGCCAATCAGCGATTTTCAATATTGGGCATTCGACCAATCAGAAGTTTTCGATGTTGGACTTTCGACCAATCAGATTTTTCCGTATTGAAATTCCACCCAATCAGAGGTTTTCGACCTTGGGCTTTCGACCAATCAGATTTTTTCTTATTCAAATTCCAGCCAATAAGAGATTTTCGATATTGGGCTCTCAGTCAATCAGACATTTTCCTATTGAAATTTCAGCCAATCAGTGGTTTTAACTTGAAGAATTCAATGTAAAATGGTACTTGTAAATGAGGTCACAACTTTTACGGTACATGGAGAATAACGAACTATTGTTTTAATGTATTCAAATAATGGAGCGATTAGCCATGAGTGACGCCCCGCAGGAGCGCGGATGAACGACTAGTCGCTGATATTGCAAGCGCATTGCTCATACGCTCCGGAAAAGATTTATATGAAAGCTAGGTTTATTAAGAATACTGCACTAAGATTCCCTTAATTAAGAATTCTAATAAAACTGTGACTTTCCAGGTTGACAATGAGGTTGAAGAAATAAGGAATAGTTCATAACAAAGTGCGGATTCCGGACTGCCCATCGAGATTCTCATATTATAAATCTAATTATTTTTCGAAGTAAGAGCAGTCGGAAATTTGATAGAGTGTAAATCAAAGCGGATGATCTTAATGGAGAATAGGATTACACGTGGCAGCGGCTAGCCGCTGCACTGGAAAGTTCCCTGAAAGAAAGCTTTAGGCTGTTGGGATTCATTGAATAAACGTCAACAGTGTAGATCTGATGGGTTTGAATAGGGGCTAGCAGTGACAAAGAACTGAGAAATAATTTAAATAAAGTGTGGGAATCACGTTTCTGCACGTGTACAATATTTGAATAGAACATTTCACGGAAAACATCACTCAAAGAACTTATATTCGCTATATCCAAAGTAGATATGAATGAAATAAGAGGGAGTTTTTCTGTTGGTATGTGTTCTTGTAAATGTGGTTCTCGAAATAGATATGTGCCAGAGAAAAATATAATGTGTAGAATTGGATTCATGCAAAAAAACGCATTTAAGGTCCCATCAACATTCAAATCCACGCCGACAAGTATCGCTGAAACTCAAAGCCTAGTTTTAGTCAATCCCACACTATTGATATTTAAGTCTAGTCTCATTATATTTTATTCTCGCTAATTATTCAATTATTTGCATATTTTTTCAGGAGTTCTGGCTTGTGTAATTTCTATAGTCACCATATCTCGAAGAAGCTAATCCAAAAAGATATTTGTAAATGAGGTCAGATCCTTTATGATAAATGTAGAAAAACCGACTATTGTTTTAATGTATTCAAATCATAAAGTGACTAGCCCTGAGTGGCGCCGCAGAGGGACGCCAATGAACGACTAGTCACTAATATTGCAAGTACACTCTAGATTCGCTTCGGAAAAGATCTATGTGAAAGCTAGATTTATTGAGAATACTGCACTAAGATTACCGTAATCAGGAATTCTAATAAAACTCTGACTTTTCCACTAGACAATTGGATCGAAGAAATAAGGAAAAGTTGATAACAAAGTGCCAATTCGAGACTAACCATCGAGAATTCTCGTGTTATAAATCTAAGGGTTTTTCGAAGTAAGAACAGCCTGGAATTTGATAGGTTGTGAACCAAAGAGGATGATCTTATAGGAGAATATGATTACACGTGGCAGCGGCTAGCCGCTGCACTAGAATATTCCCTAGGAGAAGACGTCAAGTTGTTAGGATTCATCGGAAAGACGTCAATGGTCTAGATCTGATGGGTTTCTATAGGGATCAGAAGTGGCAAAAAACTAAGAACTGTTTTCAAGTTAAGTATGAAAACAGTTTTTCTATACAGACACAACATCTGAATAGTGCATTAGACGGAAAGCATCACTCAAAGAATTTATATTCACTCTATCAGAAGCAAAATTGAATGAAATAAAATGAATTTTTTCGTTGGTATGTGTTCTTATTGGTTTAGAAACTGCATTTTATTAACCATATTGTGAGCTAGCACAGTATATGTTGGCTTTAGATTATGTCTAAACGTATGGAAAAGAAGAAAGTAACAGTGAATAGTGTGACATTTTCCAATTTTATGAAAATAGTTATGAATTAAGTGACTTTTGTTGTTATCAGGAAGCATTTATGGCCCTTCATGAATTAAATGTAAAGAATAGGAGTGAATTTGCTACTGAAATCAGTCATATTTGATAATTATAAGAAAGTTCCGCTAATTTGTACCTATTCTTTCTATTATTTGAACAGAGATCGGAGCCATTTTTTGTGCATAGGTAACTCTTACTATGCCGTCAAAAATTGCAAAAACACGCAGATTGGGAATGCTTTGACAACATCTTTCAAATTTCCAAGAGATGGAAGCGATTTGTACCTTGAAATCCTATACGTTTGGTATAAAATTACCATTGTGATTTTATTATGAGGTGCTGCCCAACCATTTCAAATCTCCATATCTTCGTACATTTTAAAAGCTTAGTAAAAACCATCTATGTACAAAGAATGACACGGGTGTCTTTTGAAATGATGGAGAAAAGGAATAAAAATAAGCTGGGTTTTCTTATAATTTTCAAATAGAACTGATTTTGCGACCATATCTATCACCGTTCTTTCATATGGTTACATCTATGATCTGAGACAATGTATGCATAGATAGGTGAGGGTCTTAAACTGGGATATGGCAATAAATTGTAACGTATTATTATTATTAAAAACCCATATTTTTAACCTTGTATATGTTTTCAAGAGTTCTGACTCGTGAAATTTCTAGCTGCTATAAATCGAAGCAAATAATATAAAAGGATATATGTAAACGAGGTGATATCTTTTATGTAAAATGGGCAAAAAACAACTATTACTTAAGTGCATTAATGTAAAAGGAGCGACTAGCCGTGAATGGCACCCCGAAGGAGCACCGATGAACGACTAGTCACTCATATTGCAAGTATACTGCAGGCTCATCTCACAAAAGATCTGTGTAAAAGCTAGATTTTTTTGACAATACTGTACTAATATTTTCTTAATGAGGAATTTCAATAAAACTCTGTTTTTCCAGCTAGACAACAGAATTGAAGAAATAAGAAATAGTTCACAACAAAGATCCAGTTTAGAAATTCCCATCGAGAATTTTTGTGCTAGAGATCTTACAATTTTTCGAAGTAAGCCGAGTCTGGGATTAGGTGAAGTGCAAATAAAACAGGATGGTCTTGTGGAAGAATAGAATTAAACATAGTAGTGGCTAGCCACGAATGGCGCCACGGAGGGACATCGAAGAGCGACTAGCCGCTGCGCTTGAAAAATTCCCTTAGGAACCGCTTCAAACTGTTGGGATTTATCGGATAAATGTCAACAGTCGAGATCTAATGGGTTTGAATAGATACTAGCAGTGGCAAAGAACCGAGAAATATTTTTGAGATAAAGTATGACAGTGGCTTTTCTGCACATGTACAATATTTGAATAGTACATTTGACAGAAAACATCGTTCAAAGAATTTATATTCGCTGCACTGGAAGTAGATATGAATGAAATAAAAGTGAGTTTCTCTGTCGGTATGTGTTCTTGTCTGTGTTCATTAAAGTGTCGGAATGTATATGGGTATATTCAAATTACCTCTCTAGTCTGACAGCTACTTTGAATAGAAACTTCTTTCAAGTATGGTGTTCCGATTACAGACCAGATCTAATACGATTTTTTTAAACTAGGAATTCAGCTAAACTCCATTTCTTCTAGCGGACGCGCTAGTAAATAACATTGTGGACAGATGTGCTAGTAAGCATACGGATTTTTGGTGGAATTTTCAAAGAGTGCGGCGCGTTTTCACAATAATGTCGCGAATGCGTTTTGCTTCGTGACCTCTCAGAAAATTAAATATAATCTCTTTTTTCGGATGCGTGCGGATATTGCTACCTTTCTGTAGTTCTTTAGATTTCTGTTGGGTATCAATGTGCGGGTGTCAATTTAATTTGATGAACTTATAACAAAAATGATCACACAGACCTGCATACCAATGTGCATAATGACATTGACGCTAATATCAACGTACACACACCTACCCACCCTTTCAAAATGTTGGATACTAGCTTTGTTGAAGACTGTAAAGCAGTATATAACACCAAAGAAGCCGAATATTCAGTCGAGGGTCAAGCGAGTCACACGGACGAGCGTTACTTGCCTTCTAGAGATAATCAACCGAAGAAAAAAACTCAATCAAATATACATTATGTCATCGACATATGGGCTTAATAGATGTTCTCCTTCTCGCATGTCAGTTACTCAATATTTGATTGATTGATGTAGGTCTTTAAGACTAACAAGAGAAATTAGCTTCATTGTCCAAATGTTATCTAAATGATCTTTAATTTCACATGTTCAAGACCATAGTTTGCTTTGTTTATATTATACAGCTGTTCAATTGCTTGAAGATATTGATAATGAAGTTGATCGATATCTGTTTGAGATGGATCAATGATTTGATTGACATGAATCGGTTTACCAACTAATAGAATAAGATAAAATTCTTTTTTTTCTATCGAATCTAATGAGAAAGAAAGCCTTATCTTACCAACGGTCGTTACAGGATGACGAACAGGTAGATAACCAATGATTGATCGTCCCCAAATCCATCGATTTGAAATCCAATTCTTATATCGTCGATAATGTTCATTTTCTCCAAATGATATAACCGGTACTAATGATGCACTAATAAACAAAACTTCTTCTTTTCTATTCATTCTAATTACATATTCACTAACCCATTTTCTAATGCTAATCGTATAAAACCTTTTCTCTTTTTTAAATAGAATATCATCGTTTGATATTCTGTTAAATACAATTCTCGCATACCGCCACACACAATAACAACAGCATTACCTTGACCAGATGAACCATTTAAGAAATATTGACAACTCTCTCGTGAGACACGACATGCACCTAGAATAACAAAACATTCGATGATGGATTTATAATGTTATCATTACCCAAATTAAGAAATAATTCACGTGAAAATGGAACGAGAAATTGGAAACGAAGAATCATTAAATGAGGACAAATACCAGGAAATAGAGTTGAAAAATGTGTTGCTTCTGTTAAAAAATTGATCCCAGCACCGAATGTTAATGCACCATGCGGATGATAACCAAAGATATAATTTCGATTTGGATCAAGATCTTCTGTTTTGATTAATTTTATTGGAAAATAATTAGAAACTATTGACCAAATAGATAATCGACGTAAACAACTCGACGATCGTCCTCCTCGAACATCTGTATATCGATCAATATACATCCAACCACCATAAATCAAACCAATGAGTAATGTCATTGGTAAAGACCAAAAATAGGATAAGAGAATAAATGTGAACAATATCACAAAAGGTGAGAAAAGTATGAGTGTAACAAGAAAGAATAAAATCAAATCTTCAATCAAATTCTTCATTATTATCTAAAATCAATTTCAAGAATTAGAAAAAATCATCAAAAAAAAAATAAACATCATTCATAATGAAAGTGTATAATTTAACCACCGATCACTTTTCATTGCACCACATCGATCATAAACAGCTTGTGCACGATGATGTTTCACCGACGTTTGCCATGTTAAACATAATGCACCATGTTCTCGTGTATATCGTGCACATTCACCAATCAGAAGATCAGCAATACCTTGACCTTGATATGATTGATCAACATAAAGATCTTCCATTATAGCTAGACGACCAAAAAAATTCACAATAACCTTGTAATAATGGTAATAAATCGACTAGATCATTTTCATTGACAATATTTATCTTCCAAGGAGTATCTTCGACGGAGGTCGTCGCTATTTTTGATAAAAAGAAATCTTGTTTGTTGCTTTTTGGTGTTCTTATCTAAATATGAGTAATCGATAAGAGTCGCATGGCATTAGTTAACGAAAGATGTCCTCGATTACCATCCATGTAGTTAATGAAACGGATATATCTGAACTTAGGGTGTGGGTGTGAGTAAAGGAAGGATTAGAACTCATCCACACCCCCACACCCTTGTATAATTATATTATCGTCGAACCATAACCTATCTCTACGTTCGCTCAAAGAGTCAACACTTGATAATTATGTTTACCACTCGTTTCCCAACAACAACTACGTCATACATTCATTTACGTCCTCAAATAAATAGAAAATTAAATTATTATTTTGATAATCATCACAAGAAAAAATCTCGACCATATTTTAAATTCCAAGCTGGATCAACAACAACATTCTCTGGATATACAAATATTAACAGCTTAGGGTGTGGGTGGGTGTGTGGGTGCGAGTGTGGGGTGTGGGTGTGCATGTGCGTGTCTAGATGGAAGAAACATCCACAATGACACCAACACCCCATACACACCCACACCCACACCCCCACCCATACCCACTCTCCCCCACACCACACTCACACTCCCTCACACCACACTCACACTCCGCCACACCCACCATCACCGTCTTGCCGACCCGCTATCAACAATAGAAAAGAAAAAGAAAAAGAGAGAAAGTACTAGAAGAATAGAGTAGATTTAAGTGTGTAAAATGTTCTAATTTTCATTTCCATCAATAAAAAAGTCTGATGAAGGAGGCTTCGACCTGCCGAAACGTCAGAAATTTCAAATAAATTGTATCCAGGAAGAGCATTGAGAATAAAATAAAAATCATTATGTCCTTCCTTAACAAATCACAATTTTCACAGACATGCTTAAATGGACTGGAATTTTGGATTTAGAGGTTTTTTGACATGGGCTTTCATTTGAAACACTTAAATCGAATATTTGAAAATAAATCGTCAATCTTCATAGGGAGAATCGGGACCCAAATTTTGTCTTCATAGTCTTGTTCAGAAAACTTTTCCTAGCAAAATTCAATGTCACAAACTTTTGAAAACGTCATTCGACGCAGTTTGATGTACTCTGGGGATGCCCTTTCCAAAAATGGTATAGAATGCCGATCAAAAAAAATCCAATGAAAAGGTACTTCCAATCCCATCAAAAGATAGCCCATAATCGATAGTATCTATGGTAAAAAAATCTCTGTTATAGCTCTTATCGTTGTTGTAAAAATAAAAATTTACTGGAAAGTATTGCACTACAAAATGCACCAAAAGTGACCTACCTCCCAATAGTTGTGTCCACTATATCTCCAGACTGAGTCATCCATTTGAGCTGAAATTTTCGGTTTCTTCCTAAATATGTTAGGGCTAGCTACTGTAAAAATATCAACCAAATCGGTGAGATCAATTGCGCAAGGTCGGTCGTGGCTTACGTGCAATGCCTTCTACAGAGATCCTTTTTTATGTATCATTATTGACCTCCATAAAAGAATTTTACTTTTTCACAGATAGAGAAAAAAAATACACTGAACAAAGGGTCTCTCTAGGCGTGTCTTTATGAATATAAAGTTTGAACATGTCTCTATCATTGACAAAAATACCAGTTTGTTTGCTCGAACCGTAATCAAGATATTCAATTTTCTTTTTGGTCAATGAATTTCTGGACAACCTGTATATCTATAAGCATATTGTTTAATTTACAAATATGACTGGTTTTGATCTAAGTTTATTGAACTTTGTTAGACCAAAACAGATTAATTTCAACAAATAATAGTCATTTTGTTCGTATATGATAAAAAGCACCAACTTGTGCCACCTGACATACTGTAATGTTGGGAAAAGATATCAAAAACATACTTTTTAAGTAGAGTTTCTATAATACCATACAAAATGCTATATATATACGTATTATTTACATGAACTTATGAACCATTTTCTTAAGTATATTCCACTACTGAAAGAATCATCAATTTCAACCGGTTTTTCTTTGAGAGAATTACTAAACTATTGCAATTTTTCAAGTTTCTGATATTTTGAATAAAATGAGAAGACAATATAGATATTTTCTTAATTTAAACAAGTTATTGACAATTATTTTATTTGGAAGTTTCCTACTCAAGGTGAATACAGTAATTTATTCTATATAGAGTCCTAAATTATATTGTTTAAAAAAAACATAAATGAGCGAAAGGGAAAAAGTCGACATAGAACATGTTATTAACGCACATAGTTTTAGTAGAAACGGTTTGAAAAATTTCATCTTGATTACTCGTCTTCAACTGATGTCAGCTTGATTAAAATATTCGGTACAGACCCACCTTTATAATCCTCGAATGGACGCGATAATCCATCATCTTTCTTTTTCCACACCCAAGTTCTTGGATCGAAGATTGTCAGTTCTTTTCCACCCATCTTCTTTGTATAGATATGGCGTGTTGCCGGATTTGATGCTTGTACAAGTGCATATTGAAATCCTTTTGTGTCTCGTGCATGATTACACATAGCAGCACGCAGTCGACTACCTACACCTTTGCCCGAATGGTGAGCTCGCGTTGCACCTGTCATAACGTGTAAGACCATGTTAGGCTTCAACTCTTGACTGAAGTCTTGTCGAACAAATATGTCATCCATTTCGTTGAGTAAATCGATGAAAGCAATTGGTGCTGGAGGGCCAGAAGCATTATATGGATGTGTCTCACGTACCAGAAAAAGGTCGCTGGCAAAAATAGCAGCAATGATTTCTCCCGAAGGACGGTGTCGTGCAAGAATAGACAAGCGTTCGTCAAGTACCTCGGTTATCATTGGCCATGATACTTCGTTGAAGAAATATTGTGGTGTTATTTGGGCAAAGACGCATGTTGGTTCATGTGCAGCAAATTCTTCGGCGATCAGCTGTGCACACGTACGTGCATCAGTTTCATTATCGATTACTTCGTACACATATTCATGGCTATCAGTCATCTCGTTGCTGAAGAGAGAAATGGTAGAAAAAGAAAAGTATTTCTTGTGTGTGTCGTAAAGATTTTTTTTTCTCGCTTTCGCTTTCTTGTTTCTTATCTATACGTATTACTTTTATTTATTTGCATTCTAATATACATGTTGTCGGTGAAACATGCACGTGCTCGAGCTTGATAAGACAATTAAAAGTGCCTCTGTTCTGTCTAGTGAAAAACAGGAGTATGGATGTGGGTAAATAACACAGACACGGCCACACTCACACTCTGAATGATATATGTGTTAACTTTTTTCAGTAAAATCGCTAGATCAGAAAATGCAAAAATACTAAAAGTGTCATAAAATTATGTCCGCTAGGAGAAAATTATTTTCGTCATAACTCAGCCAAAACAACTCTGATCTTGACAATATTTTTAGGTAACATAGTACTTCGTATGATCTTTCTAACGCTGAAAGAAACAGGTCTCTACCTATAAAGACGACGAAGTTATTGCAAAGAACGAAAAGTGTCTTAAAATGATGTTCATTTACTGTATTCATTTTTTTAATAAAATATATTTTTATTTTTTTCGGTAAAAAACTGCCATCAATTCCATTTCTAAAATGAATATTTAAAATGAAAGATTTTATTTTCCAATTGTTTTGTGAAAATTTGCATTTATATAAAATTCGAATAGAAGTTTACATGAAAGTCAGAAATTAAGATATCGAACTTTGAAGTTATACCCAATAACATGGCATCATCTAGCTGGGTAAGCGCTGATCAGTTTGTACAATGAACGTCTAGAGATTGATACTCTATGTGTTCATTTCTCTTCTATTCTATTTAGAAAAATCTTCCGAAGAGTCTATTAAGAAATCTGATAATACCTCCGAGGAAACTAGGAAGGTCTTGCAAGATGTAATCAGAATTTTTTTTCAGTTAGGAATTATTAAAATCCTGGTAGGATTCTGATCTAGAAACAATGAAGAACTGTTGAAGATCCTTCTAAGGTCTTGTTTAATCCTATGAAAATCTTGGAAATTTCGTGACTACACGTTTCTTCAGGATTTTATCGTTTCCTCAGGAAAAATAGCGAATCCTTTCAAGAATCTAGAACGAAAACGTCAAAGATTTTTGCTATGAGTATCTCGAATATGTCTTCTACGTTTTTCAGAACCAAACATTGAAATTATAATAAATTTATTCAAATCTTTAATTCCAAGAAACATCACATATGGGCCATGTATCCTTTGAACAATTACGGGCAGCACTCGGAGTACCTTTCTATATATTGAAGGAATACATTTTCACCAACTTTGCAACATTCCCAAAATAAAAATATATGCCACAATCCTACTTTAATAAACAATTTCAAGAGCTCACAATGATAAAGACAGTACAAGTAAAGTAAACTTGTTTCTCATCGTGTCGCAACTTTAAACAATATAGGATATAAGACATAAAGTCAAGAGACCTATACGTTCTTTTCTTTTTCTGGTTTCTCATTTTTATATGTTCTACAGATTTATTCACCAATAAAACAATTAAACCTCAATCGATGGAGTTTATATTACACTATTTGCCATAATGAATTCTTAAATGTTTCTTTGATTACAGATTAATTACATTGTTGTTTGGTTTTTTCGATGATTTCACTATGTCTCGAGAGTTTGTTATTTTGATAGAATATTAATTATTCTCTCGAATCATATAGTTTTCATTTTATTTATGTTGTATCTCATACAAAAAAATTTTATACAAACATGATTTTTCGTTTTCAACAGTTTTGAAATCATTTCTCAATTAATCTCTTCGGTAACTATTACCTTATCATGCACTGAAACTTTCTTGTTCTTATCGAAAGAAATAGAATATTCGTTTCTCTATCGAGCCATTTATTTGTTATTGGACTCATTGCTTATTTGCACCACTAATCTGACGATTTCTTGAAATGTTTTTATATGAACTTTTTTTCTAAGAACTTTTGTCGGTTTTCTCGAAAGAATTTTAACTGTCTCAGTATCAAAAATTTGTTCTTATTAATATATATGATTGAATAGAGTGTTAATTTCTTTCTTGATTCATATATTCTTAATTGGATTTACGTCAAATTTTACAAACAATTTTTTTTTTCATCGCTAAAATTCCGGTTTGTCTAGTGGACTATAACCATGAAAGGACTCCATGTTAGTGTTTCTCAACATTTATCACCTGTTTTGGTCAAAATATAAGATAGATAAGATGAAAGATGAAGTAATCGATGGTCTATCCAACCATATTAAAATAAGAAACATTTCAGGTTTTGTAGAATTACAGAAAACCGATCAAAACTATCATAAATAATACCAATCTATAAATCATATGTTTTTTTCACATTCAGCCAATACTCGCTGATTTTTTCACTGATACGAGAAAAGAACATGGTATCATACTGCTCGAGTTATAAATCCAAAAGACAACACAATAAATCTTGAATGATATTGCAGAATTGTTTTTAGATTTCGAATAGTTTTGAAAATCTTAAGTCTGTATGGTATGAATATTTGATTAAAAAGACCATATTTGTTCATTTATCATTTCTTTTTTTAATTTCTTTTTAAAAAAAGCATGTTTTCAAATGATTGAATATATTTATTTTTCCTGAATAAATAATCTATGCTTATTTAATAAATAATAATATATGATTAATATCATGCCATTTATCATCAATTTAAATCAATAATTCTACTGAAAAAGAAATAATGATATCAGTTAGAGAAAATTTATTTCTGTTAAAGTACATTTTTTAAATCATAGGAAAATATTCAGAGGTTCGAATTCTATTTGTTTGAATATAATCAGTACTCTTATTATAGATGCAATCTATGAAATATTAAATTTGATTTAACAAATATGAGAGAGATTTAATTGAATTTTTAATTTATCATGAAAACTAATGAAAATGTAAATATTTTGTATTTAGTTCTGAAGTCTAAGTGAAATTCAGATTGATACCTAAAATCTAAACGAAATTTATTGAAAATTTTTTCATTCAATATAAATAGTTGATAAAAATAATATTATTTTATTATTCGTAAATAAATCACAAAATAAGTTATCATAAAATTACTAATGTCAATTTATCATTTTTAATTATTCTTATTATAAATATTCAGTTAGTTATAGTTAGTATATTGTAGTACATCGAAAAATAAAGTGTAAATTAAAGACCGATATTTAAGAAAATAGCGAATAAAGAGACAAAAATCAAAATGTTTCCAGATACGGTCAATTGTGTCGTTGAATTTTCGCCATCTGGTCCTGTGGTTTTATTAAAAACAGACATACAAGAAATTGTAGCGTCGGCCCTGCCTGATGAATAAGGACGACCAACAAAATATGTAAAGACAAAATATTTCATAAGTTTATCATAATCACCATCGACTGAGGGATTACTTTGAAAATATACCCATGCTTTTGATGGATCTGTTGGTCCTGGCTCACCTAGCATAAAAGAACCATTACGAAGAAATACTATACTAGCTATTCCACTACTAGACGAATTCTTTGCTGGACAACCTGGAGGAGGTTTTGATTGAATGTCTGGTATTGGAACTCCACAGTTTGAATTTTCGATATTTCCAAACGAACTCATCAATGTAGCAAGAATGTTTTTTGAACATTCTTCTCCCCAAAGTGCATCGCAACCACCGTTTCTAGTTTCTCCAGGATTTTGTATTGGTAATTGACCCCAGAGATCGAAAGATATACCCATGGCAATACAACGATCAGTCGAGTTTAGAGTTGTAGTGCCACTGAGTACCTTTAATGTCTCTTTATGTGTCGTATTGACTGCACGATTATAAACATTTAAAAACAAATCAATCTGTGTCGAATACAAGATGGTTGTTCTAGGCACGGAGACATTTGGAGTAAGATGAGTAACGTTTGGATTACCACCAAAACTAAATGCGCTTCCCATATAACCATAATGCAATGAAATAAATGCGAATAAAATAAATTTTGCCAACATGATTAAAAAAGTAATGTTTTTTAATAAAATAAATGAACAAGAAAGTGGAAGATAAAAAAAATGAGGTAAACATTTATTTATATCTCAAGTTTCAAGGTGAATCATTTAATTCCAAGACGCAATAATGTTTAGCGCATGGCAAAACCTTTAGTTTTATTAAAAGAAAAATGAGAAGAAAAAGCTTATCTATTATTTGTCTTCGGCTCGTGTCAGACAACTTTTGACGCAGTTTATGACATGTGTTTTATCTCACGGTTTAAAGTATACATCCACATATAAATAGAAAGTAAATACATCGCGCCAGACCATCTTGTTACAAAAAATCGAAACCTTAAGCAAAGTTTCGTAAAAATCTAAGACATTTTCAAAATGATTGGCAATGGTGTAGAAAACCTTTAAATGTTTCGAATAGATTAGAAAAATCGAGACCTTTAGGTTTCGTACCATGTAGGGTGTGGGTGTATTATTTACCCGCATCTACACCTGCACCCAAAATAAACGAATTGGATAAACAACAGTGATATAAAAATGAATGTTGATATTCAATTTGATGAAGATTATTTTGAAATGTAAACAAAGTCATACCAAGCATATCATTTCCAAATATGAATGCAGCTAAACATGAATTTGTAACGAGCATCATTGGTACTGTGTGAGATGTTTTATTAAGAGTAATAGTCGATAGAAAATTCAATACTAGTGCAATGGTCAAGATAGTACACACTATCATAAGAATACCAAAGGAATAAACAATGATTCAATGTGGGTCATAGTTGAATAAGTGTCAAATGTCATTGCTTCTTCGAGAAGAATAACCAGATGAAAGAAAATATGATGAAGCCTGTAGATTTCAATAAAAAAATTCTCTTGATCAGTTGTGTACTATCTTACAGCACTCTGAAATTAATCTAAAAATATGAAAATAATATTTTCATTGTTTTATAATTCTCATACATGAACTGATGTATAGTTATTCAACCAATAGATGAGAAAATGTCATTATCACAACACAATTTCCTGCTTGTTTTTTTATTTTTAAACATGAAAAGAAATAAGTTCAGAAAACAATATTATCTTGATGGTGTCAAGATTTGATATCTAAGTGAAAGGTATGAACAGCTTAAAAAAAATTGATTATACTCGCATAATGGAACTGCTTCCTATACAAGTTTTTCATTGAATCATAATATAAATAATCTGAAAAAATACTTTCAACATTTTTATTAACTCTTAGAAGACTCTTTTAATAATACTAAGTGTTTGTGCCAATATTTTGTTAATGGAAAAGAAGTTTTTGCAAGATCTTCATTAATCGTTTAAATATCTTACAAAGATATGACATTAGATTTATTTTACGTATCACTCGACTTTCAATGTATATAACCGTAATGAAGGTGTCGATATTTTTGATACCTATTATAAGATCCTTACACCAAGATAAGGAAAAAAGGAAAAAAAAGTGGATGAAATTCGGTGAAGAAATATGTGAACAACAATTAAAGTCTACCTTAACACTGAATAAAAAAATTTTTTTTTTATTAGATATTATCAAGAATGAATTCAGTAACGATTGAGAATGAATGGTGAATAAATTAGTTCTATAATATTCATTTATGTAAATTGACGAACCGAGAAAAATCGTTAGTGTCAAACTTGAAAGTTGAAATCAATTATGGATATATTATTTGAGTAATCTGCTTTTGAACTATTCCTTTCTTACACATGGCATATTACTCGATGAGGTCATAGCTAAATAGTTGAATACTGGACTACCTAAAGTGAAAATATAGATATACAAAGCACAGTAGTTCTGAATACACTGTTTTTATTATGTCACGAAAGCAAAATTAAGTTATCTGAATAGTATTGTAAGTAATTACAGCATGGTGACTCACGAATAGATATGACACCTGTTTCTTGCCTTTTATGGGAGAACTGAGTCACGATTCGAATGTCATCTCTGTGCGCAATTAATCAAACTTAGAATTTATCTTATTTTAACCTCGGGCGTCAACTGTGAAATAATTTTTTTCGATGAAGAGACATTTTTTTTCTCTACAAAGAACATGTGAAGCGATATCTTAGATGGAAGTTTACTGCAGATTGATCCTTAGTAGAGTCTATACAACAATAAAACATTCTCTTTTACATACCATTTTATAGAAGATACTCGCATTCTTACATGACACACGCACCCACAGCTCACATCCTTACTAGGCAAACACTCTCATTAAGTTGGTGAATCAACGTGGCGGTATTTTTCTATTTGGCAAGTGAGCTAACATATAGTTATTGTTTCTAGAGAGATCTACGCATTCAGGGATTTCAGAATTTCGAAGTCTTTCCATCGTCTATGCCACACATTTTTGCCAACACTTTATAAATCAGTATTGTCCTCCCTATTTCCTTATTATGTGAGTCTAGCTAATGACATATTGTTCAACGTATTTGGCGTTGTTTATTTTTTTTTGGATCAAAATTCATATATGAATAAGTCAAAAGTTTTTTTTTCCACGAAAATTTGTTTTTATTACTTTCATCAATTATGAGAAACCTAATATAATACAGTAAATTAGCACAAATAATTTAAGATTTCCTTTAGAGGCACCGTTCTACGAGTTAAAAAGGATCTGTTGAGTTATAAATTATATGTTCAAATTTGAGTTCTTCGCTTGAAAATAATTCATGTTGATCCAATACTAGAATCTGGTGAGGAACTGTCTGCCGAAGTCGGTGTAGTCGATGTGAATGATTCATTCAAGTATTGATTGTACATTGTTATTGACAATTGAGTAACTTCAGCGATAATCGGACGACCTTTTGGTTCTAATGTTAGGCAGCGACTTACTAAATCACGTAACTAAAAGAATAAAAAAAAATCAAGAGTCAGACAAATCTTATATTGAATTGGTCAGTTTACTTCAGATGAATACAATTTGCTTGACAATGGTGCATAATCAAGTTCGTCGATTTTTTTACGTAAGCCTAAGAAAGTTAGATTTTCCTCGAAGAAGGGACTTCGAAAAACTGCCATCTATACAAAGAAAGACATGTAAATAGAGTTGAACTTAAACAACTTCTACAACTCACTTCATAGAGAACACAACCAAGTGACCAAATATCTGCCGAAAAACTATACCCTAAACCTAATTCGTTTATTCGTTCTGGAGACATGTAATAGGGTGTTCCAAGTTTAGAATGTGTAAAATCGATTTCGTTGGGAAAGAAACGACCTGTAAAATAAGCAAGGCAGTCAAATACAAGAATCAAAAATTTACGATAAAAGATTATCTCTCACCTAAACCAAGATCTCCCAATTTTACAGCTCCTTGAGCATTGATAAAAATATTTGCTGGTTTAATATCTTAAATTAGGAGAAGGAAGAAAGTCAAACATTTAAAATAAAAGCAGAATAACGTGTTTACCTCTATGCATAATTCGTTTTGAATGCATATGTTCTAAGCCGAGACAAATTTGACTAAAATATTTCCAAATTGTTTTTTCTGGTAGTACCTTCTGTTTTTGTACGAAATACTGAAATGAAATTATTAGTCGTAATGAAGATTATCGGAAATTAAAAACATATATTCGACATAACATACTTCAATCATTTTAGCAAGATCACCTGCACTAGCTAGTTCCTATAAGATAGAAGTCGAAAAAAGCAGTCATTATGCAACAGTAATAGAAAAAATACTTACCAAAATTATATAAAGATCACTATTAGTACTGATGAAATGAGAAATATATTTAATCACATTTGGATGATCGAGTTTCTAAAATAATAATGAATATGTTTAAAAATGTTCATGTAAGATTGTTATGACTCTTAGATCACTTACTTGCAGCAGAATTATTTCTCTTTTACAATCTTCAGCTGCTTTCTTATCGATCATTTTCGTGAGCTAAAATTAGTAGTCGCATGCAGTATTCTGATATTCCTTAAGTTTCTTTATTCAATAATTTATTAAATTTACCTGAACTCTTTTTAAAGCTACTTTCACTCCAGTCACTATATTTGTTCCAAAATAAACAGTGGAAAAATGACCTTTTGCAACTTTGTCACTTAATTGGAAATTTTGTAATGAGTTATACGGAGATTGACTAATCTTTTCACCTACAATTCTCAGGTCTAAAGCTGTAGCTGTTGTTTCTGATGCTTTCCGATGCATATAAAATTCTGATTGGTTTTTTTTCAAAACAAAAAAAGTAAACCTTTTCTCAAATGACTCTCATAATTGTGCGTCATACGAATATATACCTCTTTTACACGTTGTAGATAAGAACGTCTCTTTTTATTTTATTTTCATATTTATGATATTACTCACAGTGTTATCAGTCATGTGTAGGAGTAAGATTATACAAAGGAACTCTCCAAGTTGAGATTGATCTATACCCTTTTCTTATCTTCTTAAAACTAGAACGTGTTGAAAATATTAGAGAGGCAATCATAGTTTGTGTTTCATCTTCCAATTTATTGTCTAGTTGTATACAGTTTTCAAAGATAATGCTCAAACCAAGTCCTAATTTTATTACTATATGTCAGAAATAATATTTCATGTGTAAACGATCTCAAATTGAATCACTATGTGATCGCCTGCAGATTTTAAATCTTTATTGAGCATTTGCGTAACTTAATAAAAGAGCATTGAAATTGATAATGAAATATTATTCCAGATAAAATTTTTTGACAATTTTGTAAGTACTATCGTGCGATGTATGCTGAGAAGTGTTATGTTGTTGGTCGAACGACACTTTAGTCGAAAAAATTTTCGTCGAAATTTTTTTGCAGAAAAGCATTTCGTCGACAGGGCATGAGTGGAATGTAGGTGTCCGTATGGGTGTCAGTATGGATGCGCAGTGTAAGTGTCGGTGTCGAACGAAGACCCTGATTCACACCCACTCACACCCACACCCACATCCACACCCTCAATGAAAACTGTTTGATTAATCTCGATTCACAGATGATTGATACTTTCAAACGTTCAATGTTCGACATGAAACTATCTTCCGATTAGTTCGATTTTAAACTGTCAGTGAGAAAGTTTACTTTTCCAAAAAAAGCCTTATGTCTTTTTTCTGAAGAACTGACAATTTTTCTCTTATGAACTTTTCTTTTTCTTTCAGATAGATAGTTCTAACAAAGTCGATCGACGATTTGCATCGTTAAGTCTTTTTTCTCTTTTTGTTTTAGATAATTTGCTGTGAATTGATCGATGATTTCGATCTGTAATTCATCATCATTCTTATTTTTCTCTAGCAAATTTTTTTCTTATTTTTTTTACAGAATTTTGTCCGAGTCGATGTTTTTGAGTTTGTATCGTGCTCTTTCAGTGTTTGTTTCTCGATATTGAATATGGTAAAGTATGATGTTCATTTTTTTGTAACAAATAAATACTTTTACAAGATAGTAATTAGTTTGGGAGTACATGATAGCTTGAAAAGGATACCAATGGGTCCTATGAATGTATTGGATGTGAAATATCTATCAATAGAACAATAATCATCGTATTGGTTCATTATAGCTTACTTGACGTAAATAGGATCGTATACTACCAAGAAAGATGCCATAATCATCGTCGTGGAAGGATTTCAAATTGAACGAAACCTGCTGATTGAAGATCAGCGCTACGAATACGACGTTACACAGTTGCCTGCAAAATAAAGTGATATGATGGATTGATTCGATACAAAATCCCTAGAGCACACAGGATGAAACGAAGATTACAACGAAATAAATCTACCGAAGGAACAGAGATGCGCGAACATGGACAGTCCGGATCGAGCAATGATTCAAATTGAACTCGACTGAAATTTCTAATCATGACAATTTTCTGATACGAGATAAATGATATGGCAAAAATAATAACCAGAACAAGGAGAAAGTTTAGAGGCAGATAGACACGAGGTAATGATCGCATTCGTACATTTTTCATACTTATTTTGTGCATCCTCGAGAGGTCGAAAAGGATTCAATGTACAGAATTACACTTTCAAAGACGACTGAGCTGAGGACCAGATGGAATAGCAATGAACATTTTTCTGGTAAACAAAAATTTGGTGAACAGAGCACGTGAAAGAGAAAAAGTAGACACAATCGACGCGCCTCAATCGATCATGACGAATCCTAAGATAGAAGAACATTAGAAACAAGATTGTTGACAATCTGTGGTATTATTCTTTCTAAGAAAAGAAGTTTTGACGAGTCCATTCCTAAGTAAAGAAACTTTCAAGTTTCGAGCGACACTAATGAAACTTAAAAGAAATTTATTCAAATCTGCGGAACCTAAAAATCTCTTCAGTTGAAAAAGTTCAAATCAAAAAGTTAAAGTACATGAGCAAATTCTTCTGATCATTATGGTAGATTTTGTGTATCAAACTTTGCTTAAACACATATGACACCAGTAATAGTAATTATGAATTTAAATGATACACTGTCTTGTGAAGAGACTATTTTGATAAAGGACAACAAGAAATTGTGTATTACATAATCATTTGATTGCCATATTGCCATTTGCTATAAGTCATAAGCGTCATCCTCATCACTTGCTCGTCTATCGTTTTGCAATTTTGTATAGCTGAATATATGACTCATTTAGATGACTCATCGAGTGTACTCGTATAAGCTTTCGTTTCTTACCTGTAGATTTCGCAAGACAAATTATTATAAAAGACGTGCGTAACTACTCCTTTTCTCTTTCAGTGTTTTTTTTTGATATTTCACGGATAGACTCACATAAAGAAAAAAATCAAACATGGCGCACGGCATCTCGGATACCGAGTGTAAAAAGGAATATTTTGATTCACAATCAGAACTCGATGCCAAGTTAGATCAATTGGCTCAATGGATAAAAGAAAGTCGACATTTGATCGTATTCACAGGTATGTCTAATGATTGCTATTCATCTCCTAGAATTCATTTGTATATACGTATGTTAGGTGCCGGAGTATCCACATCAACTGGAATTCCGGATTTTCGCAGTGCAATGGACACTGTATTACCCACGGGACCTGGTGCGTGGGAATTACGTGAGTAAGTCAGCTTAACATCGTTTTCGTACACACCGATTTTTCATCTATATTAGTAATAAAACGTCTCGATCGAAGAAGGCAGTAGTCATTGACGACATGCAAAAAGCAATTCCATCGCCTTCTCACATGTATGTTGTTTCATCAGAACTTAAGAACAAAACTAATTCTGATTTTCATCAGGGCTCTCGTCGAATTACAACGTCGTGGCATTCTCAAATGTTTAATATCGCAAAATTGCGATGGTCTACATTTGCGCAGCGGCATGAATCCAGCTCATCTAGCCGAATTACATGGCAATATGAATTTGGAAATATGTAAAAAATGCAAAGCTAGATATTTACGAGATTTTGATACGGACACTGGTCGTTTAAATCATTCGACTGGCCGTCGATGTGACAAACCTGAATGTCGTGGTCAATTGAGAGATTCAATTATTAATTTTGGCGAAAATTTACCAGAAGACGAACTGAACAAAGCCTTTGATCATGCAGAAAAAGCCGATGTGTGTCTCGTTCTCGGTAAGATCATAATATTCACACAATTTCTGTCGTGCTAATCTTAATCGAATTACAGGCAGTAGTTTGACTGTCACACCGGCAGCTGATATTCCACGTCGAGTGGCAAAACGAAAGAAAAAATTGATCATTGGTAATCTCCAACGCACTCCACTGTATAACCGTGCGACAATGAATATTCATGCATTCAGCGATACAATCATGCAGGGCTTGATGGAACGACTAAACATATCAATTCCGCCATGGATTCTTCGACGACGTGTTCTTGTGACATGTCAAAACGACAGTGATAAACATAAAACTACGATCACCATCGAAGGTCGTGATCCTGACAATGCTGAAATTCCATTTACACTCTTCGAATCGATTCAAGTGATTATTGGTGATCGAGCAAAAGAAGAATTCACTCGAGAACCATTTGTCTTTGAAGTGTCCGACAAAAACGTTCATCCGATCACTGTTCGACTCAATTTCTTCGGTCATTACAATGAAATTCCATTCGAACTTTATTATGTCAATGTGAAAAATATTCCAAAAGAAGAACAATTCTACTTATTCTACAACCCGTTGAAGGGTGAATGGCATAAAACGACTGACGAGAGTGATTTGCCCGTTTGAACTGATTCACAACTTTTGGAAAAAAAAGTCTCTTATCTCTAATAACAATATAAAACAAAGAATAAATATTTTACATTTGAGTGTTCTGTTTCTTTTGCGTTGTTTCTTTGGTATTGGCAGAGTGAGAAAGATGCATAGGTAATTGATCAGAACCATTTCATTCTGAAAGAATATCTTTCCGGACGTGAGGATCGAATAACATGAGTTAATAGAAGATATCTGCTTGTAATGAAGCGTGAACACAAAAAAAAGAGAGAAGCGCTCATAATCATCACCTTCGTCCCATAATATAACTAATACAGTGAGGAATATCATACTATCGAATATCATCATAGATTAACTAATGTTTACGTTTGGTTCTTTTCATGTGCAAAGTTAGTTTGGATTCATATGAGCTGGGAAAATGCTCTCTGTTCATCAATCATGTGGGATAATATATCTGTACTAGTATTATTATTTAATTGCATGAAATATGTTAGTTATTCTTGTTACACATGTATCTATGAAACTCTTGTCCCTCACAAGTATTGATAGTGTTACAAAAGCATAGATACCTACGATATTGATAAATTCAATAAACTCATGTTTAAAAAAAATGTGCTCTTCTAACACAAGGTGTTTGTTCCAAAAATCTGATCGAAAAAAAGAAACAAGAATATATGTTTAATCATTCAAACGATGTACATGAGACTTTTATAGTTTGATTCTATATTCATTGAAGTTCTATTTCACATAAAGGATCCGCCGGATAAGGGTCCAAATCTGCCATCCCGTGCATCAAAATTACATTCATGCTTTTCTAAAAGGCTGTATGTTATTTAGAATACTACCAAAGTATGAAATTCATTGCCTTAGCCCCATCTCATGAACTGTTTTTTATTCTTGCTCTGTCCTATCCTATCCCATGCTGAGAGACTCATATCCTAGTACTATAATACACTCTAAAAAAAACGTTCTTTTACTGAACTTGTGTCCAAGGAAAGAATATTTCTGGTTCTGTGCGAAACTTCTGTATGTCTTTTGCTTCAATGTACTGATCGTCAAGGTTTTTTATGTTGAGTAACAGCGTATGAAATCAAAAAAGCGCTTCCTCGGATACAGATTGGTAGAAGAACCTATTTTTTTTTAGAGCGTATTGTAGTACTAGGCTGTGAGTCTCTCAGCATGATGTAGGATATGACAGAGCAAGAATAAAAAACAGTTCATGAGATGGGGCTAAGGTAGTGAACCTCATACTTTGGTAGGATTCTAAATAACATGTAGCCTTTTAGGAATGCATGAATGTAATTTTGTTGCATGGGGTGGCAGATTTGGACCCTTATCCGGCAGGGTCCTTTCAATGAGATATAATTATATTTTTAATCAATAAAAATAATCAATTATGTATCAAAATAGAATTTATTATTATCAAATTTCTTGAATTGAATTTGAATATAAAACAAATGAAAAGGAATTTTCATCAAATGTTTTTAGAAAAAAAACGAAAATAATTTAAATCAAAAAATAAGATTAGTAAAAAAATTTAAATTAAGTTTGAGATGAAACAAATGTTACTTATATTTTATCTTCATAAAAATAACAAACAAGAACTTCTGTCGTTTGTTCAAGCGAAAATTCATTGTAACAAGATATAAAATTATACTTTTTTTGTCAAACTAATCAATCAAACTTGTTTTTTGATACTTATTAGAATAAAGATGAGTTTTATGTCATTCGTCAGGTGAATATCTTCCCTAGTGAAGGTATTCATCAAGAGAGTACTCAAAAAGTACTCACGCTAGAAAATACCGCGAGAACTCATGGGTCCTCAAGGCATTTGAGTACTCACCAGTGGCACTCGTGCTAGAATTTGAGTATCTGAGTACGGCTATTGAGTATTCGCGCTAGAATCTGAGTATAACCGTCGAGTACTTGCCTTAAAATAATGGGTGTTTCACAAGTACTCTTATATAGTTTTTGAATATTCTAGTCGTTTATGTAAAATATTCATAGGCTTACATTCTGATCATTACCGTTGCACTACGTCCATTTTATTTTTTATATAACATTAATAAGACAAAATACAATGCTACATATTGAAAATATGAGAGAGCAATCGATACGAGAGTTACAAGTATTACTTTATCTACATTAGTTTTTAACACAAATACTAGAGATAAAGAAATATCTAACTTTCTTCTATAATGAACGATGAAGATTTCTTTGTCTCTATCTTATAAAGTAAGAGTACAGTAAACTGATTAAGTGGTAGTAAAATAAACTTAGAGAAAAATAAATGATAGATTATTCAGTGAAATTGAAATATGTGATTTCAAATAAAGATTCGGTATTGATTGATACACAACCGAAAAGATAAGTGTTTAACAATAGTTTATATTTACAATCATTTAACAATTTATAAAAAAAAAGTAAAAAATAAATTATGCGTCTGTAGTCATTGTCTTCATGTGTGTATAATTTAAAATCGCAATCGATTTGCAACAAAAGTCGTTAGTTTTATTTTTCTATTACGATCCATCATCAATCTGAAAAACTTTGTGTTAATACAGAACTTTTTATCTTAATTTAGAAATTGAGACTAGAATGAATTTCGTTTAATATGTTTAATTCAATATTAAATCTTATTCGCCAACTTAACAGTTAAAAATGAAAAGTCGTTTTCTTTTTTCCTTCAAGTCATCATCCAATGAAATTGTAGAAACCAATCATCAGAAAATAATAGAGGATAAAATATAGCATTCATTAAAACAGTTCTTCTCTATTTTTCATATAAAATTACATCGTTTTTCTTTATTACATAATTTCAATTTACTTTTGTGCATACAAGTGCATAAGTATTTCACTAAATATTCTGCGAAAAACTCATATGAGTACTACACTGAGTACTCGCGTATTTTTCTGCGAGTTAATCTGCAGAGAAAAACTAGTATGAGTACACATACAGTATTCATACATATAAAATTCTTCAAGTACTCGTAGGAGTAACTTGAGTACTCATGCTGGCAAGCCCTACTCGCTTGGTGAATAGTTTCACTAGGGTCAGAGTTTACAATATGTTTTATAAATCTATCGATAGTATACTTTTGCTTTTCGAGATAATTCTCTTTACTTTTATGAGTTTGAATCCTCCTCATGCTAAGGTAACCGATGGCTGGTTATGGTGACATCAAAATCATAGGAAAAAAATTCTCTTGCATGAATAATATCAATAGAATGCCTCACAAAGAAAAGGTTATATAAATATGTCTATTTCAATGTTCATTTATCCTTCTTATTAGTTAACAGACAACTTTTTAATATTGATATTTCATTCAATCGAAATTATGCAATGATATTAAAAGATTTTCTCAATGATACTGTTTTTTTAATCTCGAAAATCAAATCATATTAATCGATTAGAGTGAAGTGCATCAATATATATTGCTTGATGATTTAATGAAACAAGATTTAGTAACAGAATAGAGAATATCAAATTACTCATCACCATCAAATCATACTGAACAAAACTGTTATGTTGATGTAAGTCGAACACTATTTTCATTGAAACTTTATATAAAAATAGAAAGTCGTAAGAGTAATCACTGAACAATATTTTATTGGATACAAAATTTTATGAACAATCCTAATTACCAGTAAATATTGTTTCATATAAGAAAAATTTTTAAAAAAAAGTAGTACCAGTAGATCAACAAGGTAACGTTTATAAAAATGAGTTTTTTTTTCTTTTTTTTTTCGTGTACTACACAAAATATGTGACACTATTCGTTGTCTTGTTATCTCCCCAAACCAATATGAGTTAAAGTCATTTTCTTATCTTTAATATTGGCTCGTCAATGTGTGTTTTATGATGTAACATCTACATTGCATGGGAGATTTACTTTATATTATCTATATCCTAAAGTATTGCTTTCAATTTTGAGTATTAATATATTGTTTCAAGTAGGCTCATTCAAATATAGAATGCAACAGAATACTCATACCTCAATTTTAACACTATACTTTTGTTATCTATTCAATGAACTGATTGTAAGAAAGTATTAATTATGTATCTGTTTTTTATCAGAGTAAAAATGAATTGTATTAAATTGTAAAAAATCTCGAGAATCTGCACTATATTGTACTTCTTTTTAGATTGGATTAATTTTGATGAAATATATCACAAGGGAAGTACACATCATCATGACAATTCCGTAAATTAATATTTCTTCGAGCTATTCAATTTTGTTTTTCAGAATATCAACGGTTGCAACATGAAGAAATGACGAAACAAAGTCGTATATCAAAATAAAAATGTTCTACCTAAACTAATGGAATAATTGACTAAAACAATGGAAGAAACATGCGTAACATGAATATTTGGCATTGGGTGAGAACTTTTTTAACCATTTGCCGACGGGGTTTTTTTCTGAAGAAATGCAAAAATTGTAATTCTTTTCCATAAAAGTCTAAAACGAAGCGAGGTAAGCTGGAACGTACCAGTAGCTAGTCGTGAGTGCCGCTCTGTGAGGGATGTTGACAAACGACTAGATGTTGATCTGACAGGTTTATCGAAAGTATTGTTCAAATTGAGTTAGAATCAATGGATGAATGGTCCAGTCATCCTGTCCAGCTGGTTCAAATTACATCGGAAAGTGGTTAAAAACTAACATACTTTAACTGGAATGGGCTTGAAGAATAAAGAAGTTATTTAGACAACTAATAGATCTCAATCAAAGGCGTTAAATATAATCTTTAGATATTGTATCTAGATGTTTAAACATTAATGAAAATAAAAGATTTTTCGTTTTCTGTAGAGTTTTTGTGTTTTCGACAGTGCGTTCTGTGCTGCACAAAAGTAAAAGAAAAAGCATATGTAAAAAGGAAGGGCTATTTTGCAGTAAGTGTCTATAAACGAAAAACTACATATTGATATTTTAAGAAATCTTTAGTAATATCATTTCATTTAAGATGCAAATCTATTCCATAGAACACAGAGATTCTCTATTTAAGCTTCAAAGATTCTGTTTTGATATTTCTTATTCAGCTTTCTTATCCTATGTTAAAAGTAGAAAAAACTCTAGTTCTAAATTTGCATATCTATCATTGTAACATAATCACCTTCGAAGAATTTAATCTCACATAAAAGCCATTACAGAAAACAAAGAAACCTTGAAATTCAACCCTATCAAACGAAGGAGTTACATCTGAGTTTTCGATATCTCGCGGCATTCTACTGTGCCTAATCATAAAATGAGGGTTCGTGATTTTATGCGAAAATTTTCTGTTTAAACAATATCTTCTGCACGGTAGTTCTGCATATGAAGGAGAAATAGTTAAAAACAACTTTTCTTTCAGCCAAGAGTCATTGAGAGAACGAAAATATTTTGATTCTTTAATAAACCTCAACCAGAATTGTAAAAAAATGGCATACAGAATAAGTCTGCTTGATTTAATCCTTTTGAATATATGAATCAAATAGGGATGATAGAAACATTTATCTATTCTTTGTTCTCAGACAAAAATCTTCCTTTCTTCTCTAGTTTATACTTATTTTGTAAAACTTAATAATTTATTTGTATTTATTCTTTATTATAAAGACACAATAAAACTAAATTAACATCTTTAATCAACATAGATGAAAATAGATACAAACGTCAGCTCTTTCTCCCTTAATACGAACTTTTTCTGTTTGCATGTTCAGTTATTATTAATAAAAGTTTCATTCCTATTTCGTGCATATTTTTACTAAGAGCTACCGTTTAATCAATAACGAAAGCATTTATTCCCACGAGAATTTTCTGCTCGATTGTCAGAAGAAAAAAAATGAAAAGAGCAAAACTAGCAAAGCTATTCACCGAGGAGAATGTACACGCAATAACAAAACTATATATTATATGTTTATATTCAGTATTTAAGTGCATTCTTTCCAATGGTAAGTCACGATAGCAGTTGATATATGATAAGTATAAAGATCGCACTAAAGTTGTTTTTACTCAAAATTCACATCGTTCGCCAGCACACCCCATCGACAATTTGCTTCGTTTGTACTCATCCATGTATCCACTAATTAATGAATTCGAATCGTTTTCTCTCTTGTCTATTTTTTAGAATTTTCGCAGATAGTTTCTCCGCTTCACCGAACTCGCTGCCAAATTGTCACTAGTCGCGTAATCGTCTTTTCAGGCATTTATCTATGCTTGACAAGAGCAAAAATAATGGATAGAAAGGGTAAGCTCTTCTCCATTCATCAAAGATAATCGAAATTCTCGACTTGCACTTTCGGATTGTAGTCAGCAATGCATTTCGTTCATTCATTACCAGTACTTTTTTCACCTATTCGACCATCAAAATGGTCGAAGTGCCCAATTCATATATTGCTTTGCTCAATCGTCTCATTCAATTGGTTATTTGCACTTACATCGCTCTGTAAGTATGTCATGCACTGGTGACTGACTCAATTCGGATGCGATAAATTTCTTCAGTTACATTGTTTGGTACCAACGAGGATATCAAGAATTCCAAGAGCCACGTGGAACGAGTGTCACCAAAGTGAAAGGTGTTTCATCGGTTTATATGAAGGTTCCATCCACTTTAGCTAGTAAGATGTTTTTTTTTTACTGAAGTGTTTGATCGCATTCAAATGATACTCGATTTATTTGCATTTCAGTTAATTACTCACGCATTGTATGGGATATGACTGAATATGGCATTCCACCTCTAGTATGTATACTCGCTTAATGGATACTCGATAATCCTAACTATTAGTTCACTAGGAAAACAATGCCTTTTTCATTGCAACTCGTCAAATTGTTACTTATGATCAGACCGAAGGTCATTGTCCGAGTGTAAGAAATTGATCAACTAGTATCATTGCTGGCATATTTTTCTTGACACTTGAACTAGGCTCTGAAATCTAAGCTTTATTGCGATAATGAGATGAGAAAACGCTGTCAAGCTGGCAAGGCAACACCAAGTACATCTGGTAAATTTTTTTGGCTGATGAGATGATGAAATTTTTCCCGAACATTTTCTAGGCTTTTTCACGGGTAATTGTGTACCAAGTCAAGAGAATGCATCGATCAATGTTTGCGAAATCAATGGCTGGTGTCCCGAAGAATCGAGCGTATCCGCGTAATATGCTCATTTTCAGCTTGGAAATATGCACTACGAATCTCTCTTTCTTTCATAGAGATTATCAAATCAGTATCTACGATTTAAGCAATTTCACCATTTTTATAAAAACAGCAGTAACATTTCAACGATTCAATATACATCTGTTCGTATTAACATCGATCATCGACCATCGATTGTCTTATATCTAATTTTTTGTTTTTCATTCACAGGCGAAATCTTCGAGATGATACAAATTTCTCTTGTCGCTATCACAGCATTCGAGATCCACGTTGTCCTATCTTTCGTCTTGGCGATATCTTAGAGAAATTTCAAACGAACATGCTAGCTCTTCTCAAGGAGGTAAATACGAGAAATATAAATTGTTCAATGTGACTCTTTAGGGTGGTGTAATTGAAATCGAGCAAAAGTGGACATGCAACTTTGACTACGATAAACGTTTGTGCTATCCAGACTACGTTTTTCGTCTGCTGCAAAGTGGTGACGACAAACAGTCACCCGGCATTAACTATCGGTAAATGTCATTACTTCGAAAACGAGTTTGTCGTATGATGTTCTAGGCAATAAAAACACATCTAGTATGGCACATAAATATCGTCTGAACAATACTACCTATCGAACTCTATCCAAAGTTCACGGTCTTCGTTTTATTGTATCAATCTCTGGTATTGCAGGACGATTCAATGCAGTTCAGTTGTTTCTCGCTATCGGTAGGATCAGATCGACAGTAGTAATTGATAGTGACCATTTTTTTTTTGCTTCAAGGATCTGGCATTGGCTATATGGTTATCGCAGGACTCGTATGTGATTTCTTCATGATGCATGTGCACAAATCTCGTGACAAATATCGAGCAGGCAAAGTCAGCCTGGTTAATGATATTGGACTCCAGTGAATTATGACATTCTAATGACAATATATGCATTTGCTTAATTTTATCGGAATGCTTCTTTCTGTGCATTTCCCTAGTTAGCAAAGCTTTCAAATTCTTGTATCGTGTCTGAGAAAAATTGTTATTAACAATCATCATTATATACGGAATGATCGAGATGAAGCAAATCTCGATGCTCGACCATCCTCACAGAATTCAGATTCCTGTCTTTTGAGTAGAACTTTTCAATATTTAAAAAAATATGTCCACAACAGGCGAATTTTTATTATGATCAAATATCACTGATATTAAATCAGGCTTATTCGGTAAAAGTTTAATTTACAACAGAAAAGATTGAGAAGACAAGTATGAATTAAAGAACAATCAATTTCACCGATTACTAATGTACTATGACGTCGATTTATGTTAGTGTACTGAGGAAGCTCACATCTCACAAGACTCGTTGTTATGAAATAGATATGGAGTTTTCCAATTGTTCAATCTCTAATTGATCAAGATCTCGAATACTAATGCATGTCAGATGCTCATGATTCAAAGAAACAAGCATGGGAAAACGTCGTCTACGTCCAATCGAAGAATGGAAGAGCACGACAAAGCATAACACTTGATGTCTCCAAATTTTTCAACTTCTTTTATTTTGCAAATATCTCTGCTCAGGCAAAGGATACAGACTTGATTTTTCTAAAAGATGTACCATGAAGGATGGATGGAGTGTAGTGGGGGTGAGTTTGGATCGTTGTTTGTCGAAAGAGAAAGCGTTTAACGAGTTCATATAGAACAAACTATAATCATTTTACTTGTGCACAGAATTATATTCACATGACATGTTCTATTTTGGATGAAAGGCTAAAAAGAAAGACTTCTCTATGCAGGACAAATGGGTGCTCTCTTTTCCCCAGAAGAAATTTTCAAAAATAGATTTCCTAGCAAGAAACACGGTAGTCTCTCATTTCTACCATTCAATCTATGCACCCTCTCTTTCTCTCTATCCTCTTTTAATGCACATGCACATTGATCCATGCATAGACCGATTCATGTATGACGTCATTAATAGATCAAGGATAGGACTAATTGATTGGAATCATCACTTTAAGATAGTGCTTAAATTAATTTGACAATGAATAGATATGAACTCTTAGTTCAATTGAATTCCAATAATTATCATGGAAATATCAATGAATTTTCTAAGCTACAACCTTTAGTGCCGCATTTAAATTATCTAAGAACGTAATAGATATCTTATCTGAATCTACCATTTTGATGAGAGACTAGCACCAATTACTTTTTTCGACATACATGCAGCCTTGAATAGACAACAAAAAGAAGAATTGTTTAAACAAATAGGATTCTTATTCAATATTACATATTTCCTAGATGTAGTGAACTATTCAATCAACGATTTTTATTACAGGAATAATGAAAAATCAACAGACAAATAAAACATCAAATCTTTTTTTTTTATTGATGACAAGAGAAAAATTCTGCAGATAATTTTGAATGGAGAGAGGAAGAGGAAAAAATTGGCTTATTTCAGTATTCTTCACTAGAAGAAATTCAGTTTCAATCGACAATGTCCAGCTTCGTTTTTAACAATCTAAAAGAGAAAAATATGCAATCGAATGATCTTATTGATTTTCTTCTCTAGTTAACTTACTATGAATATGGATAATATATCTGTTTTAAACAAGATTAAACATGATAATGTTGAACGTCAATAGAATAACAATATAAAAACATATAAAAGAAGCAATTTATGCCTTTTGCTAAAAAAATCTTCTTATTCATTATTTTGATTGAAGATAATGCAAGATATTGAAGAAAGAACAGAAGGATTTTTTTATCAATTGCTAGTTGATTGTTTAAATAATGGAAAACATGAAATTCATGAATGTCAATCTATTGACAAAGAAATAATCATTTACATAAAGAATATCTATTGATGATTTGATTGTTGGAGTCATGACCAACAGAGTAAAACTCTTTGACTAAAAATAAATAAAGAAAAGGAAATAATTATGAAAAGTTTTCTTCTCAGATACACATTAGATTCGACGAATTATTCCTTTTCCTTGAGTAAGATTGCACATGAGAAACAAGTTCAATTTCATCTAGACATTCAAATTCGATCTAGATTCAGTTGAATTGCATCAAATGACAATGAAACAAAAGGGACAGAATCAGTTTTACGTGTTTGCAAACATCATAACTTTACACTAGACTAATGCCTGACAAATTATATCAACAAATAAATTTAACGATACATAGCGAAAGCAATCAGAGCAAAAAAATATTGAATAAAACAAAATAGAGCGAAAATGTATCTTGTGCTTGGGTGTGAGTGTAGGTGTTGATGAAGAGAAGGTCCACACTCACCACACTCGCATCCAAGACATAAAAATACCAAGTGATACGTCAGAACGGAGAATTGAGTCAACTCGTTTGAAAAGCAACGCTATTCAAGTTTTTTCGACACGCAATTTCACTTCCTATAGAGCTCCGAATATGGTTGAAAAATCATCTTCATCCTCGATTTTTAACAAAGCGAACTGTTTATACATATCAATATCGGCACTTTTATTCAATAAATACTTTCCATTGACAGTGAAACAGATTTTGATTTATAGTCATATGTACAAATAACAAATATCAATAGAATAAATACAAGTGATTATCAGTCAAGTACCATGCAATATCAATGAAATTATAATTGACCAATACATAGCATGCTTCGTTCTCTGACATACCCTAATGTATATCCATTGACTTCGTCAGTAAATATTGCACTGTCATCATCATCATCATCAATCGGTCGACTTGCTCGTCCCGCTATGTTGAAAAATCTGATTGTTCTCATCAATGGTACAAATTTCAGATTTCCATACATAAGCAAAGGCATACTTTGAAATTTGACTTGAATTTTGATAATTTTTTCATCATTCCTAAGAATAAATTGTTCTTCAATATCATCTGTTTCTCGAATACCAAGATGACTGCCTCTAATGATTTGAATCCATACTAAAACACCTTGTTGCGTAATGATTCTACGCATACAATGTGAACATGTAAAATTTTTCATCAATGGTTCATCAAAAGAAGAACTACATATACCACCAAATCGTTGACCAACTCGAATGCATTAACAATGACAGCTAGTAGATTCATGTTTGTTGTATCATTGTCTCCATGGGTATTTTCTATATTAGGATAATCTATTTCGAATAATTGTATCAAATCCTGATAGTTCAAAAGTAAATGATGTCTATTCACTTCTTGGTACATTAACTTTGTCTTCTTTTTGATACTATAGGAGAGGATCGGCTGTGACGAGCATGATAGATGATAAACTTTCTGTTGGTTTATTCGATCAGTTGAATGAATGGAATGATCTTATTAAAATCAACATGCGATAATATACAATATTCTATTACAAAAGTTACCTTTTCTGATGATTACATTTCATT